CACACACACACACACACAAACACACACACACCATGCTCCTCCCATCTCTCCACCGGTGCAAGGCCCCATGGTGCCCCTTGATGCCACGAGCGCCCGGAAAATTTAATCTTCCCAAATACTCATCAGGGCTCTCCATCGTCCTGCCGTGACAGCGCCGGGGATAATTAATTATACAATTTCGATGGGAATATCGACTAAACAAAACTATTAATCATAGCAAAAGTCAATAGGCATGGACACATTCAATCATGTCCCGGCCAATGATTACTCCTCTCAAAATACAATAATTATTTTCAAGAGCTGCCTCGAATTAAATTTCTGTCAAGCTGGTACAAGTCTTGCAGTTGATGAAGGATGCAATGGATTTTTTTTTTCTCTCCCCTTCCCCAGTGGAGGAGTGTGAGGAGGGACATTTATCCTTTTGGAAAGGTAGTTTGTTTTATAAGGATCATAACATGGTGTGTTTAACTAGACCATGACCATCAGATTATCTCTGATGTCCCCATTATGTCATCCATCTTGTCTGGCTTGGTGAGGAGGTGGAGGGAGGAAGGAAGGGAGGAGGAAATGAGGGGTGAGGGGGTACCTCAGCCTTCCTCTGCTACTGTCTCACAGAGAGAGGACTCCTGCACATTTCTGCTGATCAAATTCAATGATGTCTTACAGTACAGAGTGCAAGGTCAATATCTGCCGACAGATATTGACCTTGCATATTGTACACTGAAGACAGTGAGCCTTCAAAATTACATCTTTGGTTAATCAGCAATATTGTATTTTTCCGCTTTTTTTGTGCAAAGCTTGTTAACATGCTTTTATAGAGAAAGGATACATAAAAAATATTATTTAAGGAAGAAAGATGTCTCATATTTCTACATTAGTGGATCCAGTTAACTAAAAGGTTTATACTATTGAAGCTGTGAGACCAGACGTCAAAAAACCTGCACAACATAATCATAAATTCATTTCCAGATCCTATAGACCGCTGTATATTTAAGTAGTTAAAAGGTAATAAAGCTGATTTTTGGAGGAGTTTTGTGTAGTTTCATCGCAGTTAAGGAAAAAGCTGATGAACCTGTAATGGCCTTAATATGCAGCCATGTCTCAAAAATGACATTATTACACAACTAAACTGCAATCTTGTTTAATTTTTTAGTGAAATGTATTTTCTGCCAGATTATATTAGTTTGTGACATATCGCAAAAACATTTCAAATAAATATATCTTTGCCCCATTATTTTGATCATTTTACTGATGCTCCTTTTCATCCATCCATCCATTCATCATCTATACACCGCTTAATCCTCACTAGGGTCATGGGGGGCTGGAGTCTATCCCAGCTGACTCAGGGTGAAGGCAGGAGACACCCTGGACAGGTCACCAGTCTATCACAGGGCTACACTTAGAGACAGACAACCAAGCACACTCACATTCACACCTACGGACAATTTAGAATCACCAATTAACCTCAACATGTTTTTGGACTGTGTGGGAGGAAGTCGGAGAACCCGGAAAAACATGCAAACTCCATGCAGAATGACTCCCTGGTGTCCTGACTGGGATGCAAACCAGCAACCTTCTAGCTGCGAGGCAACAGTTCTAACCACCGAGCCACCTTGCAGCCCTCCTTTTCAACCAGTCAATCATATATTAGATGGAAATAGACTCAAAAAGATAATTGAGGAGAAGCTTTAAATGTGCTGGGAAAGAGTCATATTTTAAGCCAAACTGTGCCATTTCCTAAAGTCAGACAAGTAGTTTTGGAGCCTAAACTTAACCAAACAGCGAGTGAGAATGAAGCTTAAGAATGAAGGTCCTTCACAGCCCACAAACCCCAGACCTATTGCTGACTTATACCTTCATTCTCACCTCCTACCTCTTAACATGGGTCTTTTTACTCCTTCAAACTTAGAGCTTTTCCTCACAGTCTTGTCTTTCAAGGAGAAAATATATTTGTTTCAAACTAAAATCAAAAAGTAAACGAGAATGCAGTGTAGTTTCATAGACACATCATTTCTGGGAGCGGGGACTGTGTAATATAAGACATTTTATAGTAGTACAAGAAACATTTCCCCCCTCAAGTTAAAGAGACAGAGACAAAAACAAGGAAGAAAAAAGAATGGATAGAAAGTTATGGAATAGGAGCCTCTATCTGTGTACCACCTACACACACAAATAAAGCCCAGTGTTGGTGAGAAAGAGCAGCTGAGGTCAATATGTGCTCCAGTTTGCTTTTGGGCCAAATTAATGATGAGGAATTGAGAAAAAGTCCTTTCAAGGTCACTTGTCTATACCTGAAAACATACTTTACACCAACTGTGTCGCAGATAAATCCCACCCAAAGATGTAAAAATACTCAGTGGCCTAATCTCATGTGTCAGCCTGCAAACACTGGTACAATCATTAACAGTTCAATACAAACTTAACAAGGAAATAAATGCCACATCACCTATAAACACACACACAGTTTAGCAATTAACACTGAGTCATGTAGCACATTATTACACCCTTGTCAAAGTATGACTGGGTGATATTTAGGAAATCAATACAAATGTATATGTAAATTATTTTTGATAGCCAGATTTGTGGCATAAAATGTGTACGCAAAATAATCTGACTTCATCTCCGCACAGAAATCTTTATGTCCTCCAAATATTTACTTTGCTCTAACAGGCAAATGATCCATAATTATAAGACAGTAAGATTAAAATATAAATCCAATGCAGGTTCAGAAATGATAACGCTGATTTATTACCCAAAACTTCTATTACGTCTTTACATCATATATCCAACAATATTAATAAACTCCGTGCTTCCAGTCTGCTGCTCCACAGTCCATTCTGTTGATGTATAGGAGTGTGCGTCCTTCACACACATTTTAACAAGGTCCAACTTTGAACTACTTAATGTAATATACAGCCATATAAAAGTGAAGTGTGTACCTGGTGCTTTTCTTCTGCAGACACTTAACACTCACCTCATCTACACTCGAGTCTCGTTTAGAAGTTATTCCAAAGACATTTGGCCCCTCGAGTGAGGACAAAGACAGTGTTTGTTGGGCCAAAGTGATGCGAGGGCAGCAGCCGGCATCTGCATGACTCAGGTCAGCACTTTTAAAAGCCTTGTTCGTACAAGTGTTTATTGGAGCCGTTCCGTGCCTACTATAGATATGATAAGCCATCAAAGCCGCATTTGTCTCTGCAATGCATCTTTCATATTCTCTCGTGCTTTGTTCATTTCACAGACAATCAATGTGCAGTGTTGTAAATGGCAGCCGCTTTTATTATATAGTGGAAAAAGAAAGTCTATGAAGTTGATAAAAGAAATTAAACTTGTAATAAATAACTACAAGAGGAGAGGTGAGAGAGTAGATGAATATATAAAGGGTGAGGAAGTAAAGGGGTGACTTACTGAGGTCCCATTGTTTTCCCGGAAAACGTCCTGGTTGACATAATTAAAAAGCTTCTTTTCAAGTTGAAGAACAACCTAAATCAGTGCAAAGAGAGAAATGGTACTCTGATTAATAGCAATACTTATGTGAACTGCACTTAGTAATTAGAGAACTAATGAAAAGCAGTGAGCTGCAGTGGCAGACAGCACTGTTATTTCTACACGTGTCTCGGAGGCTTCACGCGATTTTATTTTCCATTTCGAACTCGATCTGTAATACATCTGGTCAGATATATGACAAATACAGAAAATGATCTGTATTTAAAGCTTCAATTATAAGGTCCAGAAGTATAATTTTCAACATTAAACGCAGATCCATCATCATGGTCCTATAGAGGCACGGTCACACCATCATTTAAAGTGGCAGCGTTTTGCAGGGAAATCAATTCATATCAGTGGAGCTGCAGCAGTGATCAGATCTGATGCACAAATTTGCGCCACTGACCAGCAGCAAGTCGTATCCCGGCCCTGACCTTTAAAGGAGCGGCCAGAGCGGTTTTTCAGCTGTTATATTTATTTACCATTCCTCTGAGTGAGTCAGAGAATCAACTGTTCCATAAAAGGCAAGTTTTTTATGAGGCAGGAGTCAAAGGTGAATGTCTGGCTTGAATATACTATGTGGAGTTATTGTCCAGTTAGAGGAAATGATGACACATGACAAAGAAAATAGAGAGCTGCTGTGACTGATCCTGCCTGCTGGTATTTTGTCAGCTAAGTTCACAAACTGGCCATGTGAATAGTCCAGACACAGGATATTTCACACAGAGACACAGATGACTTTTAGACTTTGAAACACATATTTTGACTGAAGTTTGGCAAAAGGATTTAAGAACAATAGTGTGGTTTAAATTTGGGATAAAAACGTGTTTATTTTCATGCCATCATAATAACTCAGATTATTGCAGCACAGCTTACCTTTCGGTCATTGTCACTTTCTCGGAATATTAGCTTGTCAACTTCGTTGGTGTCGGCAGCTCTGACTGTCTGCATGGTGGCAGTAGAGCAGAGACTCTGCAGGGGAGAGAAGAAGAGTGAAGGTTCATGAAAATGCAAAAAGGCAAAGGTCAAAGTGTCTCACAAATATATGCTGAGAGTTCACAAAGAGCAAAAAAATAAATGTACCACATTGTCAATTATTTATAAACTAATATGTATCTTACTGTCACCCAGATGTCCAGATATGTTTTGTACAGTAGATTATAAGAGAATAATTCAACATCATGCAGTACACTGTGCCGCATCTGAATGGCTTTTTAAAGACCATCCCACCAACTACCAGCTCACTGTCCCTTTTCTTTATCTGGGTCTATGTACTGACCCCCGAGGACTGTGTGCATGGTTAAATTCCTCTTTGTGGACTCTCTTAACAATTAGTTAAACATTCGGCCATCTGTGTTTGAAGACAGTTGAATGAGGAAATCCCTCAGCCAGTGGTTCCCATACCACACAGCAGAGACTGAGTGACCTGATTGAAATTCAAAGCACAGATTAGATAATCGGGTCAAGCCAATATAGCGAGCAGAAAAAGGCCCTTTAGACTGAAATGTCACAAATCAGTCCTGCTTCGGCCACGAAGAAATGGCACACCAGATTAGAACAAACACCATGCCCTGAGAGAAAGTGGAACAACTCCTTGCAGCCCCCCCTAAACTGCCTCAACCCCATTCCTTCATGCTTACCCCCACTCCCCAAAAGCAACTTTCTAAAGCCCTAACAAATCGCTCCATCTTTCACTCATTTAGGCCATCCAAATGCAGGGTCAATATGGTCCCCTGGCAGCCAAATGCTAATGCGCTTAAGTGCGCTTAAGCAGCTTTGTGCAATGAATAGGCCAAAGAAGGAGCTAGTGAGAGGGGCAAGAGATACTTTCCCTGTCAAAAAGTCATTGTAGCCACAGCTAGCAAAGACAATCACAAAAAGTCATTTTTGCTATCTCTGATGAGCGTCAAACGCACCAAACATGATATGCTTTACATGCAATTCACAATATAGATTTTTGTTCATTTTAAATACACACAGCAAAAACTCACAACCTTTTCAGAAGATATAGCAAATGTTGTGAGCTTAACATTAATAAAATGTATTGTTTAGACGTTTTTTGGGAAGCCTTATGGTCTTGTAATTCTTCTAATCAAGTGCCCTTCTGTTGTCCGCTTTACAAATCCAAAAGTCAGTCAAGCAGAAATCCCTGGTTACCTCAGAGTTCAGACCGAAGCCAGAAGCTCACGCTGCTCACTGGCACAATGAGCATCAATATTTAAAGGACAGAAGTAGCCTCTCCATTCATGTTCAAATCATTTCGATAATCCAGTAAGCGAGACTTGGACCGAAATCCAGTCATTAATAAATATGTCCTCTACATTTGTCTGTGCTGCAGCTACGTAAGTAAGTACATGCAAATGCATGGTGGGTATAGACAGACAGAAGATGATGCACGTAGGCCTCTGCATAGAAAACAGTGGAATGGGTGACGTAACGGCTGAGTGGTCAGGGTGTATAACGCGGTACCAGCAGTGAGTCCCTGGTTTGATTCCCAGCCTGTTTACTGCAGACCATCCCTCTGCTCTCTTTCCCCATAATTCTTGTCTCTTTCCTCTGCCGCTATCTAATAACGGCAAAAAGACCCCAAAAGAATCTTTAAAAAAGAAGCAGAGTGGAATGATGTAATTGCCAGTCAGATAATTGGCCTACAGGTTTTGTATCACGGAAGCTTATACCTTGTGCCAAGAGTGTCACTGCAAGGAAGGTTCAATTAGAAAAAGAAAAGACAATTAGCTAATGCTGTCTTTTTTTGTGGGAAAAATGTCTTTTCCTAGAATGATTACACTTTAGATTCCTGGGTGAATAAAACTATTTTCACTTCAGGGAAACTTATGATTCCGGCTGCATATTTCAGAGTCGGCCTATTGGAAAAACAACAGACAAGCTGAAGGCACCTCATTCATTCATTCATTCATTCATTCATTCTGTATTTTAGATGAACTCGAGATCCAACTGAACAGGATATAACATACTTAATAATTTCAACAAACTGAGTTCAATTCAGCAGATCAGCACTGGTGCAGGCTGCCCTTTAATGTATCTTGGGATGGACATTTGCATACTGCTGGATGCTGACATGTGAACGATTGATCCATTCATATGTTCATTGACTGAACAATCAGTATGTCAGTGCAGTCGGTGGTGGCTGATTGCACTCGATTGATCTCAGCTCTCCAACTGTCGGCTTCAGTGAAAAACATCCCACTCGTTGAGCACACCAAGAGTCCTTGCTCATCCCTGTGCTTCTGTCATAAGACCTGCACACACCGAACACTGACATGGGCAAAATGAGAACCCCATGCTGTCACTTAAGGCCAGATCAGTGCACTGATGTGTCCTTCCTGCTGCCAGCAGAGACCAGGTGCTTGTGCAGAATCTCTGAACAGACATCTCCCTTCAAAGTTGCTCCCTCCTAAGCACATTACATACAAGCACGGTCTCACTGACCATCCCAAATGACATTACGGTAAATCCTGTGGTTGCAATTGGCTCCTCATTTGATACATGCCAATTAGTCTGCGGGAGGCGAACGAAGACAGGCAGTGGGAAAATATTAACAGACAGCTGTCAGGAAAAGCAGCTGTAGTCCAGAGGACAGTAGGGATGTCTTCACTCCTGTGGCCTCTTTAACTGATCCTGCAAAGTGACTTGGCATTACATCTCTGCATTATGGGTCACAGGTCAGCACTGAGTGTTTGTAGAGGGCCAGGGGCCGGGGGGCTGGGATGAGAGGTTGCTGAGGAAGGCGCTGGCTTTGTGTATCAATGGAGGATAATCTCATGACTGTCGAAGGAGGAAGCGGCTGTTTAAAGGAGCTCTCTATTCCAGCTGCTCTCCTTAGAAGAGAGGTTAAAGCAATCTGTCCCACTTCAAAGACCAAAGACACACACGCACATTCAAGCCTTCTGTCTATGGTCCTGCCAACAGATGGAGGCGATCCACTGCGCCCAGCAGAAACACTAAGGAACCCACACACAACACCATGGCATTCGTGACAATGCATATTACACAGAGGGGTGTCAACTTTTAGGGAATAGAAGAATAATGGGAGGTGGACACAAAAAAGAACATTTAATTAAAGTTGCACTATAATGGCTTAAAAGACAATAAAAAGAATTTAATTAAAGAAAAATAACAAAACCTTTTCAGTAGATTCCTTTTAACACAAACCCTGTGATTTGCATTTTTTCTTGTTTAGGAACACTGGGTTTAGCAGAATATAAATGATTTTATAGTGTATGCTCTGGAGCACATTCACTACAGCGACTCCAGCCCCTATTCAACTCACCATCCAGTGAGCTATTCTTAGTTTACTAATACAAGTAGGAGAAATCTGTGACATAACATGGTATCAGCCAATGCACAATTCATCTCAAGCCCTCTGGGTTTTATATTCCACCTCCCTCACCCCAATCCAATGCAATGATTCACACCACTCACTAAACTGTCATTCCACCAATATAATAACCCATTGAGTGCATTTAGAACTCGGTGATTAAACTTCAATTAGGTGGAGAAAGTATGAGACTGTGTGCAGGAGGAGACAGAGGATGAGTGGACAATGAGCTGACTATTCATTCTTCATTACCAGAGGCAGGGGACAGGGGCTTACCTCTGTGTCAGCAGGGGCAGTGGCTTTGTCAGAATGCACCATTATTTTCTCGCTGCCACGCAAAGCGGGGCTGCCAGCTGAGTTAAGGTGTGCCAGCAGGGCTGGCAGGTTCAGCGTGAATTGCATAGCACTCCGATCACTTTTATTCCACTCGCCACCGTTCATCACGCCCATCCTGCATGCATGATTGCGACATCTGCCCGAACAGGGTAGAAGGGGGCATCCAAAGCAGGCAACAACAAATTCGGCTTCCTGCTTTGCTGCCAGCTATTACGCAGGAAAGCCAGTAAATCAGCTGTGACCCTCCCCACCCCATCTGACTGGACACAAGCCAGAGTTATCCACTCCTCTCTCCCTGTGGCCGGCTAATTTAATGCCTCCAAACACGGCGGATTCATCATTGACACACACACACAGCGGGGATGGGGATTCAGCATGGAAGACACATTATCACCCGCAAAGTTAGACTGTGTGTGACCCAGTGGTCAGCAGCTGACCCCAGTAAACCTGGCCTGTGTCCCCCTTAACAGCACATCCAAACTCTCACCCCTTCCCATGAACTCGTTGAGCTGTGTGAGAACTGACGTCGAGGGCTGATGGCAGTGTGTGCGTCGTAGGAGGTCTCCTAACCTGACACGCCCTCACCGAAAACGAGCTTGGAGAGGTAAGAGGGCGTGCGAGGTAGCGATAATGTGCCCTATTTATCTTGTGCATTATAACATCTGGGAAACTTCTCTAAAAACAATGGCGCGCATTGAGAGCTGCCATTCTGGCTTTACCTTCAGAAACCGGCCAAAAGCATTTGTCCCCTCGGAATGGATAATGGACAGGCCACAAATCATTCAGGACAACAGGACGGAGGGGTGTGTGCGTGTGAGAGAGAAACTGAATGTATGTGTATGTTTTGTGTGAGTGTGTGTGTGAGTGTGTGTGTGTGTGTTCCCCCCTGGTATTTAACTTCTCTGCTGGCCCATTCTGCAGGGCCCCGCAGGACAAATTGCCCTGCATGGTTGTCTTTGAGAGGCAGTGCAGCGCGCAGAGAAAGGGACAGGGCTGAAACACAGGGAACAGGCCTATAAAAATTCATCACTTTGACCCCTGTGACCTCCCACTCCTGGGGGGTTACACACACACACACACACAGATGCGCGAGCACGCACTTGCCCACCCACCAAAGCTCATAATCAGAGCTGGGAGCAATTATTCAGAAATGATCTCCAACCATTTTAAGTTTCAAACTCATAGAAACACACAGTAAGTTAAACAAGACTGCTTGAGTTACAGAAATACACTAAGCCTCCTGATCTCTCTGATTCTTTCTCTCACACATGCACACTAGTAGCAGACACAATGGCCA